TACGCTTAAAAGTGGTTAAAATCGCAAATTTTATTTTGAATATTTTTTACCTCAATTTAAAAAATGTTATATACCCAAGCCATTGAATTGTACATTTTAAAGGGGTTAATTGTGTGTGCTGGGAACTATAGCTCAATAAAGCTGTTACAAAGAACCCAGTGCTACTGACGTTTCAGGGAGCCTAGCGGACTCGATGACACTCGGTCATGAAGGAGAACTCGCTGCGTGCGGGGGTCTGTCATGCACGGCTCCGCCCGCTGACCCTGCCTTTATCCAGCCGCCCTCCGCCCTGCTCCTGTGCCTCGCAGGTGGTGGCACGCTTTTGCTGAATGCTCATGCAGACACATAGAGGCCTCGCAGATCAACCTGGAGACGTTTCAGTTCCATTCAAACATGCCTCCCTTAATAATGTATTTAAGAGGGAGGGAGGAAGAAAGAGAAAGAGAACATGTCTGCATAATTCCTTCAGGTCACTATACATTAAGTTGTATGGAATAACTACAATCCATTTTCCACGTAATTACAGTCAGTTACAGTCTTTATGTACGTTTGAATCAGTGTTGAAGTGGCTGAGCTTGGATCCTCTGGTTTTGTACTGAAGTGATGTTTTCGAGGAACTTGAAGTGTTGCTTCAGATGTTCTCATGTTTGATTTTCCTGATTGTGGTTGAGTTCTTTATATTGACAGGTGTTTAATTGAAACCAAAATGCTACTAGTGCAGTATAAACGATTTCATATAATAGTTTATTCTTGTTAGTTTTTAAATTGAAAGCCATTGCTACTCAGCTGATTCAAATTCTCTAGCATGCTTTAAGTTACCAAAAATTCTCGTAACTCAAACTAGGCTAATCAAAAGTACTTTCTAACATTTCTTCATGATTTACTTGGAAAGTTTATAAATTAAGTTATATTGAATTAAGAAAATAAAAAGTGTGGATTTGAAAATGTCACTCAAATGACTTGTTCTCTGGCTTTCTGAATTCAGTGTTGATGATATTTAAAAACTCCAGCCTGGGGGAAGCTGTCCTACGGAAGGAACCTGAGCTACCTGCCGTTAGGGTCACACCTCATTCTAGCACACAGCCTGCTGGAGTTCTCCTTTCCCTGGTAGCTTTCATGTGGGCAGGCAGGAGAACCTAGAATCCTTCCTGGAACTGCTTCCTCTCGAATCCGGAGGACTGGGGGTCCTCTCCGTCGAGCATGCTCCGGCCGACCTCCAGCTCGGCCGGCCCCTCTCACCCTCACTGCAAGCTTAACTTCAGCTCCGAGGAACTCTTCACAAGTCTTTTCAGCGCTTAGTCATCACATCCTCCCACACCATCTGCCCACTTGTACATCAAAAATACTGAAATAGTCTAAGTCACTCATCTCTGTATTAAAAAAATGATAAACACCATGAAAATCGTGGTATCAGAGATTCTGACCATGGGAACAAAGGTCTGGGCTTTTTAAACACTTAAGTCTGCTGCCCTCTGTAAAGTGAGGGGTCTTTTCACTATTTTTTGTTTTTCAACCTAGCACTTTGAACATTCAGGGCGTGACAGTGCCTTTTACTGTGAGGAAAATGCAACAACCCCGGTTATCGGTCATTCTGGAGGTTTAGACCGGCTTGGTGACTGGTGACTCTCACCGCCTCTTGAAGCGCCACACTTGAAAAACTTACCATTTTGGATGGAAGTCTTTTCAGTTTTGTCTAAAAACTATGTGTGTTGTTCTGACTTCAAGTCAGGATGAACTAATATCACTTAACCTCTTCTTGACAGAAATAACAGAAGTCAGGCACCGTACGAAGCTTTTTGCCGGGACTGCTGCGTGCTAGCCCCAGCGTGCCCCTGGCAGGTGGTGGTGATTATCCTCGTTGAATGTGTAAGGACAGTGCACGTCGGAGAGGTGAGGGAGCTTGGCCTGTGAGCAGTTTCAAAACCCAGGCACACTGACCCCAGGGGGCTACTGTTCTCTTCATTTCTGATGCTTAAAAGAAATGACTACTCCACACTAGTCTCAAACTCGGATGGTCTAAGGTTTTTATCATTTACAGCCATTTTTGTTGGTTATGCTGATGTACTTTGGCCTTGGTTTATAATCCAGATAAAAGGGTCTTGAATTACGTAAAAAGCAAGAATAAACCACTTCCAAGTAAAAGATTGAGAGGCCACCTTATTAGTAAATTGGAGTCATTGAAGTCTGAATAATTTGTCTTCCGCGATATTTTCCTGACATACCATTCCTTCTTACTTTAAGTTTAAAATATATTAATTATTTTGTACCATTTAAAAATTTTATGTTTCAAATGTGCTTCCCCTGATGGCACTTTGGCAGATGCTTTTTGAGAGTGTTTCAGTTTCTCTGGTTTCTTTTCTCTCCCTCTCCCCCTTCCCCGGCCTCCCTCCCTCTTGCCTCTCTGCAGCTCTTGCGTCATAGGTTAAAAAGCGCATGACATGGTAGAGTCCCTTGGCATCTAAGTTGATTATAAAGACATTTCTTTATTTACAGGGTTTCTTTCTAGCATGAACTTTTCAACTGAAGGTGTTTTCTAATAGCTCCACTGTATGTGTGTGTGTCTGTGTGTGTCTGTGTGTGTGTGTGTGTTGGGGTGGTGGTGTCTGTGTCTGTGTTCATGTTTTACCATAAGGGTTTTATTAGGTATTTTTTAGTGGAGAGGAAGTGTATTAGTCATGGTTCTCCAGGTAAACAGAACCAATCCCAATCACAACGAATTGTGTGGGTGTAGAGAGAAAGAGAGAGACAGAGAGAGACAGAGACAGAGACAGAGATTGATTTATGGATTGATTTTAAGAAGTTGACTTCAATAATCATAGAAGCTGCAAATCTGAAATTTGTATGGCAGGCTGGAAATTCAGGTAAGAGTTGGTGTTGCAGTCTTGAGTCCGAATTCTGCAGGGCAGCAGAGTGGAAATGTAGGCAGCATTGAGAACAATTCCTTCTTCTTGAGGGGAACCTCAGTCTTTGCTCCTGAGGCCTTCGACTGATTGGGTGAGGCCCACCATACTATGGAGGGTGACCTTCTTTACTGATCAAATGTTAATCACATCTGAAAAATACCTTCATGGCAACATCCAGACTCCTGTTTGACCAGATAACTGGGTACCAAGTTGACACATGAAATGAACCGTCCCAGGAGGAAAGGAAACAATTTAGGGTGGTATCTGTGAGTTAGAACGTGAAGTATGATGGAAAGTGAGGGGAGAAGCTTCTTGGTGTCAGGGAGTTAATCTTCTGTGTCAGTCTCCTGTACTCTGTTACTGACGGTTTGGATCATACGCAACCTGTTAGGGATCCTAATTTGAAAGGGAAAAGGCTTCTTCAATTCCAGAATCAGTTTTGACTTTCTAAATTTTATATTGTGAGCATTGTAGGCAATTCATACGTTAAGGAGTTTAGTCATTTTTTGAAGCTTATATTTGGCGTGTGAGGCTTTATTGAACATCAGTTCCAGCTTTTTATTTTTAGTTCTTTATCTTGTATGAAATTGTCTTTAAAATAGGCAGTTTGCGTCAACGTGTACTTTTCATCACAACAGATACATTTGATCAGGGCCTTAAAGATTTTTTTTTTCTCAGATAGTCTCAGGACAATATATGGAGTGAAATTTGGAGGTAAGAATCAAAGTGTGAGCAGCTGTGCTTTTCTCTCCCCTTCTTGTCCTGGCATAACATCTGCTTTGGAACCAAAAATTGAGTCCAGAGAGGTCTAGGTTCTTCCATGAAACTCACCACCATGTGAGGTAACATCTTTCCTTCCTCGTCCTCTGCCTTCTTTGGCCACCCCCACACTACACCTTATCTCATCCTTTATTTAGACATTTCCCCTCTTCCTTTGGCCTTAAATAGATCTGCTCCGCACTTCACCAGGTCCTGGGCTGCTCGCAACCTAGGGAACAGCCAGGTTTTCCACGGTTACCTGGTTACGGACCGTCAGGTGTGCTTTGTGGCATCAGTAAGGGCAAAGCTGCAGCTTTGATGAGTCACAGGATAACTCATTTGAATTCTTACAGGATGCATCTCCTCTTCCGTTTCTCCGCTTCCATGCCCTTCATCACCTCCCAGTGCTTAGGCACTGCTGGGGTTGGGTGAGGGTGGGAGTGGCGACACAAAAAAGAACAAAAAAATGCTTTATTGGGTGTCTTTATTCTGTCAGCACAGAGACGGATCCTTGGTATGAAAATCAGTCTTACGGCCCAGAATATTGAGTGGTATGTCAATTGTTTAATTAGATGGAGAGTAGGAATTGGTAGGAAAAGAATACAGTTAATAGAGAAGAGTAGAGGGATGTGAGTAGGGAGAGATTAAAATGTGTTTCGAGCTTCTTTGAAGCAGATTCTTGGGTTTGGAATTCCAGCTCCACGTGGGTTGAGACGGTAAAAGGTAGTTGAGGGTCGACTGTTGCAAGCTCGGACTGGCTGGGCGCCTGCCGAACGTCATCGCATGGCACCTTCGCTGCTGCCTGTCTGCTGGGGGCTGGCTTACAGACTCCGACACGTGCTCAGAGAGTTTGGGCACTTTATTCAGGGCACTCCGGGCTGGGCTGGGGCCCAGCTTGCCTGATGCTCAGGATTATAGCTCGTCCGTTGCACCGCTCCCCCCGTCCCCAGCGCCTTCTGTGTTCTCAGGGTGCGCGGATTTCACACGTGATGCAGCATCTAGGTTTTAGCCCCAAGAACTGCTGTCACGGTGAATTCTGCCCGTTTCTTTTCCATCTGTGTAACCTGCAAGTTAAATTTTTATTATACGAACGTAGAATTAAAAAAAAACCCAGAAGACAAGACAATTACGTCAGTCCAGGTGATGTGCTCATGCACCTGTTTTACCCATGTAGCAGCTGCACGTTTAAACAACACGTATTATACCCCTGTATTTACATGTCCACATCCGTACACCAGTTATTTTTGCTGTCAGAAAAGTGGGGCCACTATATTCTTCTCTGATTATTTCGTTGGTCAGTTTTCTCTTCTTTAATTAACACATGTAGTTTATTTCAGCCAAAAAGCAGCCTTCATTGCTGTGTGATTATTCCACTGTTGATACTATGCTTCAGTACTGAGAATTTGTGCGATTAAAGGTGGATTCTTAAAGCAGGAAGCCAGTGGGGTTTATTCGCTCATAAGACTGATTTTGTGTTTGGCTGCCCTTTATTTTGGCTGCATCACGGGCAGTAGTCACACCCGTACCAGGTAGGTCGACCTACTGACTGGTCCTGGCTGGCCTGGGATTTTCTCAGTTTAGCACAGAATGTCTCATGTCCTGGGAAAGCCCTCAGTTGTGGGCAAGCTGAGAGGGTTGCTCACCTCGGAGCAGACTTTGCAAGGAGCGCACCACTATGGGCTGCTAGCCACCGCCTCCTCCAGCGTTCGTCCCGACAGTTGGCAGCAGATCGGATATGGCAGCTCATTTTAAGTTGTTTACATAGAGTTGAAAAGGCGTGGCACTGCAGGTGATACTGTAACTCCTAAAGCTGACCTGATGTCTATCTAGGCTCTGCTTCCGTGGGTATTTTTGCCTTTGCAAGGGATCAGCTTGCCTATTGGAGTCAGGGGACAAGAAGGAACTCTCCAGAAACTGGCTTTTAGACTTGCTCAGCCTGTTGTCCCAGAACTTCTCCCAGCATTTCAGTTAAAGGATGGAAACAGAGCCACACTTGAGAAAGCTTCCTGCACACAGGAAAATGTCAATCTTTTGTCATTACGAGTATCTCTTGTAGTAAGATACATTTTCTTGAAGTTGTGCTCTTAATTTTGATCCTGGGAATGTAATACAGGAATAGCATTGTCTAGTTCTTCATGCATTTAAGAGATGCCTGCCAATATAGCTCAGATAAAATATTTATTTTAAATAAGATTCATTGAGAAAATAATCTATTCTCATATTTGTGGAGTTTTATTTTTTGTCTGTGTGTGAAAATGCTGGTGTGTACAACATCTGCACCTTTTCCTTTGCTTAGAAATCAACTCTTTTTTCTTTTATTTGCACCGGAAACAGTAGTGCACTTTAAATTGTTGGATTCAGGAGAAACTGATTGTAATAAGCTGTCTATTAACAAAATAACTCGTGCCAGAAGGAAGCTAGTCTTTGAAATTCAGTGGCTGTGTAATAATTTGCTAGTAGGATATATTTGGCCTCTGAGCCAAGTGCACGTAGCCTGTCCATGTGCATTGCCTGTGTGTGGTGGCAGCTTGTTACAGTGCCTTGTTACATATCTTCCACGTGTATTATGATACTATCACAAAGAAACTTTAGAAAAGCCCACGAAAGATCTCTTCCACTTAGGCTGTCTGTCTAAAGAAAATGTTTCTCTAAAGGAGTGAAAGCTGCTTGGGGAAAAACTGGAATTATTTTTTAAAACGTGTTTACAATGGCTGCCAAGGAGCAGTTACTTCATAAACTCATGGGATGGCTGCTAGAGGTCGCTCCCTGGGACCTTATGCTCTTTCTTTGCTAAATATGGTTAGGGAATTTGCCCCTTTTTAAAGTGAGGCTTTGTGCTAAAGAGAGCGCTGATTTTCAGAGTAATTTTATAAATTGGTTCCTGGTAGGTTTCTGAGCAAGAAGAGTAGGAAATACAGCCGCCACTGCCCACATTTAGTCCTGCTAACTTGTGCTCTTGTCCCGTGCGTAGGACCAAACGGGGACTCAAACACATCTGACCTGCAAAATGCCCCATGTTCAGTTGGAAAGGGGAACAGGAAATTAAGTTCAGGCAACTTACTAGAAAGCTAGTATATTCAGACTGCAAATCAGGCATAAAACTAAAGGAAGAAAACTCACTTGTGGGTCCAAATCTGGGTTTTTAAGTATTTACTGTGAATCAATGAAAAGAGATTTTGCTTTGTTTCCCTCCATTTTGGTCTCAGGGCGTGATCCACGCATTCCCCTGCAGTGCTGCAGACAGAGCAGAACGCGGGGTTAGATCATAGGAACCAGAAAATGAAAGTGGCCACGAACAGGGGAAGTGGTGTGTGAGCATGAGGTGCTGCGAGAAGGCAGCAGAAGTGTGAAAAGATACCTGATTTTTAATAAAAGAAACTGAGTAATAACCTAATAAAATGAGTCTGAACTGAACAGATAAAGCTTATTATTATGCAATATTATTTAGCAAAATGGAGTTTTAAGATAAAACTTGCTTTAAATATTTTGATACCTCTCATATTTAAAAGAACCTCAGATTCACAAATCTAATGCTTTATCGCTGTTCTCTTTCAAGATTTTCTTTTAAAAAAGCAAAAAAGTGATAATATCTCCTTGCTTTCATCATAGCCTGATAATTTTTGCCTTTGGCTTCTGTTTGTAACTCATGGGAGAAATCGAAACTTTTCTTCATCACTTTGGTATCAGAAACATTCCACAGTTTGTTGAGAGTATCTGAAAACACGTTTAAAATGGTAGGTTTTACATAATTGTTATGATTTAATTAGCTACCTTATCAAATTTGTTTTATCTTAACAAATGAAATGAATTAAACTATCTATTTTAGACATATTTTTGTAAGTTCAGTCCAGTGAGTTTACCACTTTGCTTGGATTCCTATTTTATCATTTTCTTCACAGTGAACAATTCGCACATCCAGTCCTTATTTCTGTTTGATCAGGAGAGTCACTGAGCCTGTGTAGGGATTTTAACATATGTTTCTCTACTTCAGTTCACTTAATCAGTCATTCAGATATTTACTGAATGCCTCCAGGGTGCCCAGGACTCTGCTAGGGGCTGGAAATACAACAGTGAGCAAAGTAAAAAATAGTTCCCGTTTTGAAAAAAGATACTGGGAAACCAGCTAATCCAGCGTGGGTGTACTGGGGGGAACTTTCCTGGAATTAGTCCCGTCAAAGGCAAGCTTAACAGGTAAGCAGGCGTTAGGCAGGTGGGCTGGAGGCAGATGGCGGGCAGGGAGGGCGTCCTGGACGAGGAGAGAAGCGGTCGGAGTTCACGTGCCTGGAGTCCCGGTAGGGAGCTGCGTGGCGGGGGGGGGGGAAGGCACAGAGGTGGTTTGGAGAGGTTTTATGAGCCACATGCACAGTTTTGGTTTTATCTGCAAGTGATGAAGAACAGCTCAAGGCTTTTAAGGAGGGAGTGTGGGGGGTAATGGCTAAGTTAGCATGTACGAGGATTACTCTGGCATTTATGGACGGTGGTTTAGGGGGCACAGTTTAAAGCAGAGACTAGTTAGCAGTGTTCGGGACTCAGTAACTGATGAAAGGGGTAAAAGTAAGTGGGAGTATTTTTGAGTGACTGCATGGCGTGATTAGCACCCCTTGGGGCCATGGGTGCCTGTGGCCGAGAGGGGAGGAGGCTGGCCGGGGTCCCAGCAGGACCTCCAGTTTCAGGCCTGGGCAGCGAGAACGGGGACCCTGGAGGAGCGGTCAGCTGAGGGAGCACGATGAGCGGTTCGGCTTGGGCCAGCCGCGCCTAGAGGACTCGCTGGGTGGACACGCGGAGACAGCGGGCTGGTACTCGCGGCTGATGCAGGGCCCTGAGGCTGGAGAGAGACAGACGGGGCCGGAGTGCAGTTATCAATTACAGCACTGCTGCGCTTTTAACTTTTATGTCGCGATTGGAAGAGGAATTCAGTGCAAGATTCCGAGCCAAATAATTTCACCCTGAGTTGTGACTAATCGTAAGTTTTACAGCTTCTGCTTTACAGTCGTAAGGGCCTCCTCAGTACCATAAATAAGCGATTTCTTGACTGTAATCAAGTAAGTGTTTGGCTCATTGACTCCTGGGGTTATGGAGTGGGATATGTTAAAAAGATACATCCAAACACACACGATAACGTGTAACATCACTGTTCAAAAAAAGACAGCTTCTGTCGGGAAACTGACTTACTCTTTTATTTCCCCACATGATACAGAAACAAACTGAGACATTTGTTTTTCCATTTAAAGTATGAATGAAGGAAAATTAGTAAGTACAGAAGGGAAACTATCTCCTAAATGAAAGTATTCTTTTCTGTGGAAGTTTTTACATATATTAGGTGCCAGATTTGAATGAATTTTCATCTTTAAGCATCAACTCTGATTGCAAACGTAATAAAGGATTTTGCTGATAGTTCTCATGTCATTCTGCTTGAATTTGTGCCCTGTTGGTTAAAATAGTAAGCCTTTAGTTTTTGATGTGTGGACATCTAAATATTTGTATAGTTATTCATGAAGGAAATGTGGTGAGGTGAGGGTCTCTTGCTGGAAAAGACGCCTCGCGGGCTCCTTCAGCACTGTTTCTCATAGCACACTTCAACCTGCATTCTTCTTGGCATCAGATAAAACCAGATTTTTCACTTCACTTTCTAATGTTAAGTGTTTCAAAAGGGTATGCGGATAAGAAGATACACTTGTGTTTGCTTACCTGTGTCGGGGGGTGGGGACAGGACTGAAGAGACCCTTTCCTAAGTTGCCGTCGTTTTGAGGGACACTGGAGTAACAAATGCTTCCCATCAAAACCTCCTTTCTGTTCTCAGAGCAATGTGAATGTCGCTTGGCTCACCTTTCTGTTTATACTAGGTGATTTAGCATGGGTATTCTTGTGTAGATATTTTTTCGTAATGATACTGTTTAGTATATGGTGATTTTTTGAAACTGTAAGTGACATGAGCTTTCTTCTGCGTATCAACCATGTATGTCTCCAGTACTAGGGAGGGGAGGATACAGGGGTGTGTAAAAGACACAAGGAAAGATTGTACCCATCACAGCAACCAGCTGAAGTTATCTGCAGTAGTTACTGATGACAGTGTAATTTTAATTTTCAAACGGAATTTGGCAGGTCTTCATAAGCTGGGAAAGAGAGTTGATTCTGAATGAAGGAGATAAAATAACCCAAACAGTACATGATCTTTGTTTCACTTACGCTTGTACAAAACAAACATGACTTGTTTAATCCAAACATTGTGGCAGGCTTTCTTAGAGAAGGTTGTGTTAATATTTATGGGGAACTTTCTTCACGTTGCTTCCAAGGAAACAAAAATGCACAACGGCGACACTAACAACGCTGACAGGCTAGCTGGTACCTGGTCGGGGAGCAGGGCGGTTCTGGAGAGGCCCTTCCGTGGACAGCGGTAGTTCTTGCCCACCTGTCCGCCTCTGGTGCCGGGCCCTGTGCTCCTGCCGCGGTGCAGGACATGCGACTTGGGGCTGGCGCTTCCAAGTGTCCCATCATCTCACACGGCGATTCGACCGCAGCAGGGCTCCTCAGAGCCCTTCCTGGGAACTGGTGGGGACCCCGGGGAAGCAGTTCTCTCATCCTGCTGAGGTTGGTACCCGGTGGCGGATACGCCCTCATTCCTGTCACAGAGGCCTGTGCTACAGTGAGGACAGGTGAGGTTATCATGTGGTAACAAGTGCCCCGGAGAGCTCAGGGGCTTAGTGTAACAGTAACGCGTAATGGAAAGGAGTCTGGAAAAAGTGTCTGTATGTGTGTAACTGAATTGCGTTGCTGTACACCCAGAACTAACATGGTAAATCAACCACACTTCAATAAAAAGCAAAATTTATTAAAAAAACCCCAAAATTTATAAATAGAACAAAAGAGAAAAAAACAATAATGTATTTCTTTTTCTCGCACAGTTTGACACAGGAGTGGGTGATAGCGTCCTGCTTTTTGCTTGTTTGTTTGTTTGCTTAGCTGGGATGAATTGGGATTCTGTCTCTTGCAGTTGAAAGGGTCCTTTGAGAAACAGACATATTGGGATTTTGTTCAGTGGAAAGGAACACCTCTTAGAGAGACTCAAGCAGAGCCGAGGGAGAGGAGCGGCCTTAGGACTGACTCTAACGTTGCTTTGGGTCCTCAGCTGCTTCTGGTGGAAGATTCTTCAGTTAAAAGTCAAAGTTAAACTAGGAGTATTCCTTACTTCAGGAAGGGAAAGCTGAGGGGAGGTGACTCGGGCCTTTGCTAAATGTCAAACAGGAATGAAGGACAGGGACTTAAACCGGAAAAAGGTTTTCTCAGTCCACATGCACGGGATTTTCAACGTGTTACAATCTCTCTCTCACAAATCAAGGTAGGAAAGTTTTGAGGGCTGACTCATAAAGCATCTAAGGAAAACTATATGAGGTTAGCACGCCATTGCCCACAAGTCGTGAATGGTATTTAAAATTCCTGTAAGTTCTCATTTATGGCAGCAAAGGCAATACTTGAATTAGAGCTCTTTCTAGAAGAGCAGAGGGCGAGTCTCTGCCGGGACGGGCGTTTTGGCATCTTCTCCTGACAGGTCATGCTGCGGAGCCTCCCCTCCTGCTCCGTAAACTCGGCCGGCACCGGGGACTCTGGGGCCCTCTCCTCACACTGCACCCGCCCGGCTTTGATCTTCGGTCCTCTGAGTCAGCATCTGAATAACTGCACTACAGCTTTGACCTCCGTACTCAGCCGAGGACGTGCGGTCCAGCCTTGGCCTCATCCTTCCAGTGAGGAGAGGCCAGTCCTTGTGGAGACGGGTGTGCACCTTAGCTCTTCCACATCCTGTGGTCAATGGATTTCCAAAAGTGAACATTTTTTTCTGCACCTACGTGGGAAAAATATTTTGAAAAGAATTGTTTTGCCATTTCCCAGTTGTGAAGCAAGAAAATGGGTAAAACGTGAGTATAATTTATGACGAGTGACAGTGGAACAGATGTGCCTCCCACTGGGATATAGAGCCCTGGGTGATCGTGTTAAATTACAGATGTTGACATTCTGATCTCCTGGGTTTGCACCGCTGACGTGATCACTAATTCACCATAAAATCCCTTAACAATCTGACTCAACCTGCCTCCTTCAGCCTTAGCTCCTGCAGAGCACCCCCACACCCCGAGTTCCGGCCACGCCGCGCCAGAGACGCTTCTCCTTGAGCTTGACTTACTGTTTGCTTTCTGCCAGCCTCTGTGCGCTTCCCCTGGTGCCTCCCCGAGCCTTCCTCCCACCTGCTGTACCTGGGACACTTACTGCTGGAAGAAACGCTCTTCTGTTCACACTCTGCATCATTGATGATGTGACATTTCCAGTTTTCCTCCTGGGTTCCCCTCCCCTTCAAGCTTATAATCATGTGACTTGCTTTGGCAAATAAAATGTGGAAGGGAGTGAGGTGTGTTACGCAGCAGTGGACGTCTTTAATGGCCAGGGCACGGTGTACTGTGTTCCCTTCCCCCTGCCGGGGTAGGTGGTGCTGTTCCAGACGAGTTTCACTTTGAGTTCCTGAGTGAGAGCAAAGCAGAGGTGAATCCCTAGAACTTCGGTGGGATAGTAAGTGAAAGGAAATCCTTGGTGTTTTAAATTACAGAGATCCTGGAATAGTTTGTTACTTCAGCTCCTGCTGACTGATGCATGCCCCATGATGAGCCTTCCTTTCCTCATTGTTACTGTTACTGTTGATAGCATTTTTGAGAATTTGCTGTGTCCCAAACTCTGTGCAAGGTGCTTTATTATGTTGCCTCATTGAATCTGCTCAGTGGCCCTATACGAAGTTCTTTTATCATTACAGCACTTTTAGGGAAACAGGGCTTGGCGATGTAATTTGTTTAAGGTCCTGCTAGCGCTTGGGTCTCTAATCTCCCACCCTCCCTTGGCTGCATTACCCCCCACGTGTCCACAAGCTCCTGCTGTGGGCCCAGCTCTGGACTGCATCTGAGGGTGAAAGCATGCATCAGCAATAGTCCCTGTCCACCAGAAGATGAGGATCCTCCAGGGAGAGAGAGAAATGTGAGCAAGGAAGTACAGTGAAGTCTTAGTGAAAGTCATGAGCGTGGTGAGCTCTCCGAAGATCTGGCATGGAAGCCTGTCTCTTCTGGTCTGGTCTTGGGTAATTCCTCCAAGCTAGCCACCCACCCACCCCTTTCAGACTTCTATTTTCTCATTCTTGAGATGAGAGGCATTTCAAAATTTTACAAGCTATAAAATGCAGACGCCTGCCTGCCTTGAAATAGCATTAGGGTGGAACAGACAGAGGGTTTCAAGTCCCTGGCGCTGGGCAGCCTGCAGTCCACGGCGGTCCCCCTCTGCTTTTGCTGTTTCAGTAGAAGATTCAGTGAGACCACAGAAGGGGCCCTACGTCCGAGAGAGAAGGGGCAGAAGCGTTTTGTGGAGGAGGTGATGCTGGGCTTGAGTTCTTAAACAGAAGCGATTTTACTTATACGAGTTAGGAAAGGGAAGTTTCAGGCTAAGTGGAAGAGCGTGAATGAAGCTATGATACATTCAGGGAACTGTAAGAAATGCATCATCAGAAGAACACGGAGCACAGTGGGGGAAATTGTCGGGGGTGGCATTCTGGCAGGTGTCCCGGGCCAGCTAAGTGATTGAACTTCCTTGCACAGGCTGTAAGGAAACACTGGAAGGGATAAATGATGCTGTGGCTTTTTGTTTTTTAAGTGTGGGTGCAGGAAGTGTGGAAGCAACGTCAAGATGGATTAGAGGGGGCACAGATGAGGGAAAGAAAGCCAGTCAGTCGACTGCTGTAGAGCGAGATGATGGAGGCTTAAATGCAGGTGGAAGGGATGGGCTGGGAGAACAGATACCAGCAACGCCAGGGAATTAACACTAAAAGACCAATTCCTTTATGACATTTCAGGAGCGGGGGAGGAGAGGAGCCCAGCAGAGCCCTGGGGTTCTGGACTTGGTGACTCAAGAGATATTTGTAATAAAGATGGGAAATGCAGAAAGAGTTTTTTTTTTTATTTTTAACTATTGAATTTTTGTGTGTGTGTGGGGATTATTCACTTTAGAAAATCAAACAATGTGAAAAATGTTCAAAGTAAAAGAAATTCCACTCCCCGTATGTGATGACCCTGTTAGTTTTTCCCCATTTGTTTAAGATCTGTGTGTGTGTAATGGTCATCTTAAACAGAAGTAGCACCTACTGAGGGTTTCTTTGTTATTTAATAGCATAGCACAGGGAGCTTTCCAGCTTTCCACTCAAGTACGGAGAGATGGGTCTACTTTATTTATTAGTGTAAAAGGATAAGTCATATTCCGTGCCACTGTAATGCTCCTGTTCGTTTCTTTGTAGTTGCTTTCATGAGCAGTGCTATAAAGGATGCTCTTGTGTATTTGCCTAAAAATTGTGATAAAGGTTACGGAAGAGAAAAGAAGTGGGTGTGAACAGGGAACCTAATTTTTAAATTCGGCAGTGGGGAAACCCTCCTTGTTTATCACATATTCTTTGCTTTTTGCTTTTTCTTTGGTTAATCCTAAGTAACATTTTCTGGATGTACATGTCTTGACCATTGTGTTCTCCCATGTACCCTAGAAGGTGCACACTGTGTAAGAATTAGCTTAAAACAGTAGAAATACTCCCAGTTTGGATGCCTGCTTTAGCTAACTGGGGGATGGTATTCCATTGTTGCTTATACCACCTTTTAGTTTTTTCATTCCCCAGTGGATAAACATTTAAGTGTAACTCTCTGTTATTATTTTAAAAAGAAAAAAAAAAAGCTATTTCAGAACTTGCCCTCTTCCTCTACATTAGTTTAGTGGTTTCTGTTTCCCGGTGCCAGGGTGCCAGTGACTGCAGGAGCGACTGCTCCTTGCCTGCAGGAGTGCTCCCCACCCGAGCCCATCCTCACCGGCAGGCTGTCCTCCCGTGCCCTCCGCAAAGGCCTTTGATTTGAACAGTGTGGGAGGGGCTTACCTAGTCCTAGTGCATCAGAGGAGAGCAGTGTACCTGGCAGGAAGACCTCTCTCGCTTCCCCGAAAGGCTTCCTGCTATTGGTATTTCCTGTTTTCTCCGGAATGCCTTTCAGCTGCAACGTGGGGTGTGAGAAGTGTCATTTTTTGCTGCTAAATGTTACGTCTCTGATTTTGTTTTGGCTGTTTCCTGCTACAACATGTTGGTTACAATTGCATTGGCCCGTATGTCACTAAAGTACAAAGCTGAAATATAATCAATATCTGAGTTTTTAAGAAGTTGCCATGGTGTATAATCCCATAAACCTTTGGTTACATTTGTTTTCCATCAATGTGGCTGCACAACAGAACCCTCGGGGAGAGCGTCAGGGTCCCTGCCCTGTGCTTACTCATGCAGACTCTTCAGACAGCACATTTTTTAAAAAGATGCCCATGGGTTTCCAAAGTTGGTTCAAGGTATCTCTGTAAAGGAGGCACATCATTTGTAACTATCATGTAATTTTTTTCTTTTTAACATGAGTTTATTTTTTACTTATTTTCCTTCTTTTGTTTTTTAAACTTTATTTTTATTTTTTAAAATTTTGTTGGGGAGGTTACTAGGCTTATGTATCTAATTTTTAGTGGAGGTACTGCGGGGTGAGCCCAGGACCTTGTGCATGCTAATAAGCACACACTCTGCCCCTGAGCGATACCCTCCCCTCATTTCCCTTCTTTTGAAAGTTAATTTTGTTTTCATATTGGAGGAAAAATGCCTTCCCATGTCACATGAATAAATATAATATGAATTAGTTTAGACTTTATGTGGTCTGTCTTTTACCTCGAGCCCTGCACCTGGATAAGACATAACTTAGGAGCACGGGATTTTGTGGGGTTAAAGTTTATGTCGGGTGCCTATTTATGAAAAAGAACACAAATATCTCACTTTTGCAAATTTCACAAAAATATGTGATTATGTAAAATTCGGTAAATTTCACAAAAACTCATCTTTAGGGTCCTTCCCAGGACCCTGGCAAGGGCCTGTCCCAGTGTAAGGCCTTGAGATGGAGCTTTATGGTAAATCTTCCCCTGCCCCCAAATACTGCTTCTGGTCAGTTTCCACCGTGACTGAAAGTGTGTGTTGGGAGGAGCACGCTGGTGGTACATCAGTTTTTCTGGAACTCTTCCAGTAAAATTGAAATCTCTGAGAAAGACCGAGACAGGTAGGCCACAGAGACCAGAGATTTATTCTCCAGGGCCAACTTCCATGGGTTGGTAGCCGGATCCTGGAGTGTCCTGTTGAGAAAGGGTGTGAGAGGTTGGGGCAGTGTGGGGTGGAGAGCTGGCCATAGGACAGGGATCTAGGGAGCCTGTGGTGGGTCACAGGGACTTGGTTAGTGTCTCTGCTGTTTGTTACCATTGCCTGACAGCTTAGCATGAGCTGCTCTATTGACTTGTGATACACTTTCCTCTGTCCCCATAAAAGCCTGTGGAGAATGCTGGCACCTGGGACTGTGGAGGAGGGCAGTGGACCTGGAAGAAAAGGCCTGGATCAAAAGTGGAAGCTCAGACCAGAGACACACTTGTCTTATCAGCCTGTTCTGCTCAGTGTATCCTGATCTAAGTGCCCGTTTTTAAGAATGCTGATCATAAAAGCAGCTTTCCCTTTTGTTTTCTGACATCTGTCATATAGCAGTATTTACTGCAACCAGGATAGCATTGCGTTAAATGCTGTGGTAGAAAGTGGGACTCACTACACTCAGAGACTTCAAGAAGAGACAGGATCATTGTAAACTATCATTAAAAATCAGCCCGACATGAGAGACCCTGCTGATTATTTAATGCAACTGAGAACAAATAAAAATATCAGAAAACAGCCTGTTTGACTAATCTATTAAAAAAAAATCGTAGAAGGACTAGGAAGTTGTCTGTTAGCAAGGTCTTAGGGTGAAAATGCCAGGGGGAGGGGGTGGGGCATCTAGAGACTAGGAAGTTTTGCCAGCAGTTACTCCTGTGAATGAATCTGAAGGATGCGGCAGCTGGATCTAAAGGACTGGAGACTGTCCTCTTTTTTAAATTGAAGTAGAGTTGATTTGCAGTGGTGGTTAGTTTCTGGTGTACAGCATAGTGATTCAGGTATACACATATGCATATATTCCTTTTCATACTCTTCTTTATAGGCTATTACAAGGTACTGAATATAGTTCCCTGTGCTGTACAGTATGTCCTTGTTGTTCTTCTGTTTTATGTGTGGTAGTTTGTACCTGCTAATTCCAAACTCCTAATTTATCACCCCCTCCCCTTTGTTTTCTATGTCTGAGTCTTTTTCTATTTTGTAAATAAGTTCATTGGTGTAATTTTTTTTTAGATTCCACATATAAGTGATATCATATGATATTTATCTTTCTCTGACTTACTTCACCTGATATGATCATCTCTAAATTTCATCCGTGTTGCTGCAAATAGTTATTATTCCATTCATTTTCAGGGCTGAGTAGTGCTCCACTGGATAAAGAAGATGTGTGTTCACTGCCTCCCCTCTGCCTCCTGCAGCAGTTGCATGCCACAGGTTGCAGTACCACTGAGCCCCGTGAAGCACCGCGCAGTGCACAGCAGGCAGTGCTCAGCAGGCACTGCGTACACGTGAGCAAGTAGCGTGTGACAGCTTACGTGTAACAAGAACCATCACATGTGTGCAGCTATAGAAAAAGTACTGAAATCATACTTAGTATAAATCTCTGAGTGTTAGATCTGGCGAATAAGGCTCTCAGCATCAGATATGTTAAGAATGATTTCCTTATTTGTGAGACAAGAGTGGAGGGAATAGAATGGGAGCAATATTTGAAAATGCCAGTTTGTGGTTGCCCTTGATAATGATCCTGGCAGAGAGGTTAAAGGCAGCTAACCAGGCCCTGGGGGACCTCTGTGGGCACAGTGGTCTCAAGTCCTTTATGCAGCACACATTGTGGGAGTGAAAGATTTGATGAGGAAATACGTGGATGTAAATCTGCCCAGGGGGAAGATGAGTGGGAGGCAGAGAGAGCTGCAGTGAGGAAGTTAATGCCAGGGGAGGCGCACGCGGGGTCCACCTGAGAGGGAAGGGGCTCGGGGTTTGTGGTGAGGAGCCCAGGAGGAGGTGATTGCCAAACGGTCAGTTGAAGGGCGCATTAGAGCAGTTATCTGGACCCGTGTGTGTGTGCATCACACTCACACATTCAAACACAAACATTCACACACACAGTTTGGTTTCTTGAATAGAAGCAAAGACCTTCAAAAGGCAACTCACTTTCTCATCGGATTAAGTTTTACCCTGATCTTAAAACCACACTTTACAGAGAACTCATTCACTGCCATTTTCTAACAATCGTTCTTTAGAACCGTGCGCTGGCTGGCCACTCTCTCTCGCCCAAGTGGTTAGCATCTTGGAAAGGCTGCAGGCCCCCTTGGCAACTCGTCCCCCGCACGGAGCGCTGGAAACCCAGTGAGTCTTCCCTGGAACCCCTGGAGAAGTGATTGTGATTGATGGGAAGGTGTCGGCTTCCCCTTTGGGGCAGGAGGAGTTGGTGCAGTGAGACTA